CAGCAGAAGATAGGATTGAATGCAAGTTTATGGGGTTGCAAGTTGACAAATCTGCTCTCCCCAAGGAATTCCCACTCTTGGTCTGTGTCCCAATGGATGTTCCTGCTGCTGGGTTTATCTAGGTGCCCCCAGGGAACCAGGAAGATGTGGAGCCTCCAAGCCAGGTGTCTTCCCAACACGCATCACCAGGACCACAGATCACCAGGGCTCTGCCCAACGGGGGTCACTGGGGATCATCCAACGCGGATCCTACCATGGGGGATGGAGCTGGAGCAGCGCACGAAGCTCTCCCTGCACTCGGGGCACTCACAGGGCTTCCCTTAGTGGCACCTCCGTTGATGTTGGGTCAAGTTAGAGCTCTGTGAGAAGCCCTTCCCACACTCCCCACACTCGTAGGGCCTCTCCCCGGTGTGGATGCGCCGGTGCATGGTGAGGGTGGAGTTTCGCTTGAAGCCCTTCCCGCAGTCGGGGCAGCGGAAGGGCCTCTCCTCTGTGTGAATCCGCTCATGTACGAGGAGACTGGAGCTGATATGAAACCTCTTCCCACACTGGGGACACTCATAGGGTTTCTCCCCAGTGTGGAGGAGCTGGTGATTTCTCAGGGCGGAGCTCCATCCAAAGCTTTTCCCACATTCCAAGCAGGTGTAGGGCCGGTCCCCCGTGTGGCTCACTTGGTGGCGAATCAGGGCCCTGCTTTCTCTGAAGCTCTTCCCACACTCCCCACACTTGTAGGGCTTTTCCCCAGAGTGGATCCTCTCATGATTCCTCAGGACAGAGCTGCGCCTGAAGCTCTTCCCACACTCCCCACACTTGTAGGGCTTTTCCCCAGAGTGGATCCTCTCATGATTCCTCAGGCCAGAGCTGCACCTGAAGCTCTTCCCACATTCCCCACATTCATAGGGCTTTTCCCCAGTGTGGATCCTCTGGTGTTGCAGCATCGTGCCCTTCTGCTTGAATCCCATCCCACATTCCCCACACATGTAGGGCCGGTCCCCGGTGTGGATCCTCTGGTGTTGCATCAGGCCGCCCCCCTGGCTGAAGCTCTTCCCACATTCCCCACACTCAAAGGGCTTTTCCCCAGTGTGGATCCTCTGATGTTGGACCAGGTTGCGCTTGTAGTTGAAGCTCTTCCCACATTTCCCACACTCATAGGGCCGTTCCCCAGTGTGGATCACCTGGTGCTGGATCAGGTCAATGCGCCGGCTGAAACCCTTACCACATTCCAAACACTCGTGGGGCTTCTCCTTGCCATGAGGCTTCTCCACCAGCTCTGAGCTCTGCCTGGATCTCTGGCCGCCTTTCTGGCTCAGGGGGGCTCTTTCCTCCCTGCAGCTCCCTGGGCTGGGTTTGCAGCCCCTCCTCGTGCAGAATCTCCAGGGCTTTTCCTCCTCCATCCAGGCACACCATGGGAATGAAAAATCCTGGTTTGGGGGAAAATACGAGATGAGAGGGCCTCGGGCTCCTTGCTGCACTTTATCTCATGAAGTCCTTGGGCATCTTGTGTGTGTAAGAATCACCAAAATACTAAGACTGAGCTGAAAAATCCTCTAAACATCAAGACAGAGATCAAAAATTCCACAAACATCATTCAGCATCAGGATTCAGTAAAAAACCCTTCCAAAACATAAAGATTTAGCCCCCACAA